CCAGGCTAGATTTAAACCCGCCACCTTAGGTGTATGTGGCTGGCACCTTAGCCACTTGAGCCACAGGCACCAAGCCGACCTATACTCTTTTTTAATAGTTTTGAAATGTACCATCGCATTATGCACGTTAGGTGAGGCCCCCCCATATTTATTTATTTTTTGAGACAGTGTCAAGCTGTTGCCCTAGGTAGAGTGCCATGGCTTCATAGCTCATAGCAACCTCCAACTCTTGGGCTCAAATGATACACTTGCCTCAGTTTTTCTATTTTTTAGTAGAGACAGGGTCTTGCTTTTGCTCAGACTAGTCTCAAATTCATGAGCTCAAGCTATGCACCCACTTCAGCCCCCCTGAATCACTGTAGTTTGCTATGTGTACTCTTTCTGAATAGTTATATCCTACTTTTTATAGTGAACTCCCAGAAAGCTCCGTGAATATCTTGAACACTGGATGGAAAACAGCTTCCTAAGGAACAGGTGTTTTTAACCCATGGCCCATTTTGGCCTTCAAAGGTAGATTCCCAGAAATAGAATGCAACATTGTAGGGACTGGTGTTTCTGCTCTTCTCTAGGTTCTAACAAATCTCCAAGGATAACTTTTGAAATAACCAGCATATCAGTGACGCAGCACATCTGTATAAAGCCAAGAAGGTTACCTATTACTTCTTTTCTTCTATTTTCTCCATCAGTTTTATATAAGTCATGGTGTCTCTAACTGCATATAAGATAATAAACTACTTAAACATATGACTTAACATACTTCTTCATGATTGTTTTTACTTAGAAGAAGGGATGCTGTACATTATTCTCTGTCTCCCCTTTATATGCCAGCTAGCTAGAATTTTGCTCCCTTAAATGCAAAAATAGTTTCTCTCACAGCTTCAGGAACATCAAGTTTATGGTCATGTAACACTGACTCTCAAACAACTTTCCTATTTAGAAGAAAGAATACTTTATTTAGCTAATGTTAACTCTGTTCCACTTAACACAGGCTTAGTTCAAACTGCCTAAAATAAAAAAGTAGAGGAAAAAAAAAGTACCTTCTTTCATGTCTTTAGTGTCTGAACCAAAAAAGGAGAATGTGAAGCTACCAGGCTGCTCAGCTCCACTCGTCAGAGTTGCAGAGTCCTTGATTTCCTCAGATTTCTCTCCAACACAGTCCTCATTCCCTGGAGTGTCTTCTTTTTCGCTGGTATCTTTTGCAGCTTGGAATATTTCTTTCAAATCCGTAGCAATGTTATAATATATTTCTTTAGACACTTCAGGTACTTTTTCAGCTTCCTCCCTTTTCTTCTTTCGTTTTGCTTTACTGCAATGACATGTATAGGCATATGTACCACAAAGAAACAAGTTATGGAAGATTTCCAGAAATAAGGAAAGGAAAAAACCTTAGATAACTTAGATCGACATATAAAACTCTAATAAATGCAAAGTCGTGGCCTTGCTTTTTTCTTTACCACAAATCTCAAACAGCTGCAAACATTAAATAGGGTCCATATTCTTGATCTCTTATCCTCTGAACTATATTTCAGAAATTAGAGGTAAGAAATCACTTGGCATCAATGGGCTTCAGTTCGCTCATATCCAAAATGAACACATTAAACCAGAGGACTCCTAAGATCATTTTAAGTTCTAAATTCTAAGAATTTTTCCAAAGTGATATGAAAGTAATTAACTGTAATTCAGCTTTAGAAATGAATTATAAATGTGATAAGTATTGTCTCTTTTGGAATCAAATTTTTCATATATTTGTTATAAATCTGTTCTTAGACAAAAGTTACATGGTAGATTCCAATATTGAGTTTTTAGCTTTTAACTATTAAAAAATTAAGATCTTTTTCATTTTTGCTTTTAGAGGAGGGGTCGTACTGTCTAAAACAGCCACTCTATTGCCCATGCTGTTGGAGTACAGTGCTGTGATCATAGTTCACTACAGTTGTGAAATCCTGGGCTCAAGTGATCCTCCCACCTCAGCCTTCAGAGTAGCTGAGACCACAAGTGCATGTCACCACACTCAGCTAGTTTTTAAAAATTGTTATTAGAGATGAGGTCTTGCTGTGTTGCCCAAGCCAATCTTGAACCCCTGGCCTCATCCTCTAACCTCAGCCTCCTGAGTAGCTGGGATTATAGGCTCAAGCTACTAAGTCCACTTTAAAAAAAATCCCTTTCCTCTAGACCAGGTTGAAATTTGTAATGTATTACCTAAAATAAGTGACAAGTATATCCTAGGCCAGGCATGGCAGTTCACGCCTATAATCCTAACACTGGGAGGTCGAGGCAGGTGGATTGCCTGAGCTCATGAGTTTGAGACCAGCCTGAGCCACAGAAAGACCCCATCTCTGGGAAAAAAAAAAAAAAAATAGCTGGGCAGTTTTTTTCATTAAATAAACCTGGCTAGGTTTTCAGGCAGATATGCCCCTTATGAAACCAAGCTCTATGAATAATGGAGTGATATTAAGTGATTATCATTGAATTACCAAGAGATGCCTTTAAAATTTGTCCAAAATCTGATACTTCTTCCTTGAGAAGAAAGAAGAATTCCTCCAGGAATTGCCCATTCCTTGAGCATGGACTGGACTTAGTGACCTCTTTTAATGAACAGAATAAAGCCAATGTGGTGGTAGTATATGACTTTTGTGGTTAGGATCACAGCAAAAGTTAGAAGGGTCTTAAAAAACCATGAGTAGAAAACCATTAATAGTAGCTATGAAGATGCTGCAGGTAAGCAATTGCAAAATGTTAAGGCAAATGCTATTGGAAACTGGATCTTTGCTATGCTGTGGCAGAAAGCTTAGCAACACTCTCTTCCATATTAATGTGGAAAATAGAAAATATACCCAATTAACTAGGTGATCTAGCTAAGGAGATTTCCAGGAAAGTGTTGAAGGTAGTGTCTGTTTTTTTCTTAATGCTTACAGTAAAATGTGAAAGGAGAGAACAAAACTAAAGGCAGGATTTTTTTTTAAAAGGAGATAAGACTTAATGGTTTTGAAGATTCCTAATCACCAGAAGGCATATGAGATAAAGTTTAAGAAATGGCTGCTAAGCAAAAATCAAATCTGTGACACTTTTATTTTATTTTTTAGAGATGGGGTCTTGCTTGTGTTTAGGCTGGTCTTGAACCTGTGAGCTCAGACAATCCACCCACCCTGGCCTCCGCACCTGGCCTCTATGACACTTTTAGAAAACATAATCTAAAGTAAGAATTGGCAAACTATAGCCTAGAGGCCAAGTCCAGGCTGCTGCCTAGTAACATCTGAACTCTATGTTAAGCCTATTTTTTTCCCCCAACATTTTGAAATGATTGGGGGGGGGAGGGAGTAATAAAAATGATTTTGTAACACGCAAAAATTATATGAAACCCAAATTGTATCGTTCGTTAATAGTTTTATTAGATCACAGCCTTGCTCAATTGCTTGCATATTGTCTATGGCTGCTTTTCTGCTATAAAGGTAAGAGTGGCTTGGCGCCTGTGGCTCAAGCGGCTAAGGCGCCAGCCACATACACCTAAGGTGGCGGGTTCGAATCCCCAGCCCGGGCCCACCAAACAACAATGATGGCTGCAACCAAAAAATGGCCGGGCGTTGTGGCGGGCGCCTGTGGTCCCAGCTACTTGGGAGGCTGAGGCAGGAGACTCGCTTGACCTCAGGAGTTGGAGGTTGCTGTGAGTGTGATGCCATGGCACTCTACCCAGGGGGATAGCTTGAGGCTCCGTCTCAAAAAAAAAAAAAAAACCTAGACAGAGCTAAGAATCTTCAATTGTTCAAATAATATGGCTCTACAAAGGTTAAACTTCTCATCAGTTTCATCAGAAACCTAAGGCTAAAAAAGAATAAAAAAAGGCTTATCTTAATGATTTGTATGACTTTTATCTAATGCAGTAAACCCTAAGACATTTCAAAGATATCCCACAAAAATTTTAAGAGAATTATATTAGCAGACATATCCAGACAAGGGGCTGGGCTTGGTGGCTCACACCTGTAATCCTAACACTCCGGGAGGCCAAGGCAGGTGAACTGCCTGAGCTCACTGGTTCAAGACCAGCCTGAGCCAGAGGGAAACTACGTCTCTAAAAATAATAGCCAAACGTTGTGGTGGGTGTCTGTAGTCCCAGCTATTTGGGAGGCTGACGCAAGAGAATCACTTAAGCCCAAGAGTTTGAGGTTGCTGTGAGCTGTGATGCCACACCACTCTACTGAGGGTGATAAAGTAAGACTTTGTCTAAAAAAAAAAAAAAAACCCACCAGACTAGACAGATACGTGCAGAAATATTCTAAAATGAAGAAGGTTTTGCACTATTAAATTCTACAAGCAAAAAGCCGGCTGAGAAAATTACTCAGCTATACACATGCACTACCGTTCATGAAAAAAAATGACCCACAAGGCAAAGTCAGCAGTGCTAATAAAAGAATTTCCAACACTTAGCTGTCTAGATTTAGAGCTACTATGAACAAGTAGTCTTTCTGTGCCCGTTTCCCTCACAAAATAGTGCCTGTAGTGGTTATCCTTAGCCTGTTCCACCATTGTATATCAGCAGAAGGGCAGATAACTTGCCTTTTTAGTTCACAGGTCTTATCAAAAAGAACTGCACTCAAGGAATAACTGCTATGCCTCATGTGTACCTAGATCTGAGTTGGGGAGACAACATCCAAGATTTCAAACTGATTTTATAAAGGGATGAGACCTCTGAGGACTCAAGGGAGGGAGTGGGCATATTCTGCATGTGGCAGGAATACAAGTGGGCTGTAAATGCTATTTCAACTATCCTTTTTTTTGAGACAGGAGCCTCAAGCTGTCCCCCTGGGTAGAGTGTCGTGGCATCTCAGCTTACAGCAACCTCCAACTCCTGGGCTCAAGCGAGTCTCCTGCCTCAGCCTCCCAAGTAGCTGGGACCACAGGCGCCCACCACAACGCCCGGCTATTTTTTGGTTGCAGCCATCATTGTTGTTTGGCGGGTCCGGGCTGGGGATTTGAACCTGCCACCTTGGGTGTAGGTGGCTGGCGCCTTAGCCAGTTGAGCCACAGGCGCCAAGCCTATCCTTTTAAGAGTAACAAAGAGGAGGGACAAACAGAAAAGATGAGGCTATGTGAAGACAGATGTATTGATGGGAGTGATGTGGCCTCAAGTCAAGGAACATCAAGGACTGATGGCAGTCACTAGAAGATAGGACAGAGGCACAAAATGGATTTATTTCTCTGAACTTGCAGAGGGAATACAACCCTACAAACAGCCTTCATTTTGGATTTCTGGACTCCAGAAATATAAGGAAATAAATTCCTGTACTTTTAAGTGATCAAATTTATGGGGATTTGTTACAGTAGTCACAAGACGCTTAAACAAACAGAAGGCTTCATACTAGAGTAGGAGCACGCATCATTTATGTGCACCAGATTCTTTCATCCAAAAGTAAAACTGATAGGAGTGGTGTCTCATGCCTATAATCCTAGCACTTTGAGAGGCTGAGGTGAGAGTATTGCTTGAGGCCTGGAGTTTAAGATCAGCCTGGGCAACATAGGGAGCCTTCCTATTCAAACTAAAATTTTAAAAAAAAATGGTAATATCTCCTTCACCATGTCAATAATTCTCTCACCCTCCCAGATCGCTGGTTTTATATCTTAAAACATTTATAGTGGGAATAACGGATAGGATATTGGTTACTCCCTGCTTTTTTTTTTTTTTTAATTGAGCCAGAGTTTCACTTTGTTGCCCTAGGTAGAGTGCCCTGATGTCATAGCTCACAACAACCTTAAACTCTTGGGTTCATGTGATTCTCTAGTCTCAGCCTTCCAAGTAGCTGGGACTATAGGCACCTACCACAACGCCCAGCTATTTTTTTTGTTTGTTTAGCAGGCCTGGGCTGGGTTGAACCCACCAGCCCCGGAGCATGTGGCTGCCGCCCTAACCACTGTGCTATGGGCACCCAGCCCATCCTTTATTGCCTGAAATGAGATTAATTCTTATGCTTCTGCTGCTAAAAGAAGTAGCTTGAGGCTTGGTGTCTGTAGCTCAGTAAGTAGGGGTGCTGGTCACATACACTGAAGCTGGTGCTTCGAGCTCAGCCTGGGCCTGCTAAACAATGACAACTGCCCACTCTACCGAGTTGCAAGATAGTAAGACTCTTAAAAAAAAAAAAAAAGTAGCTTGAATTACCTTTCTTTTGTTTGATCATCTCTTTTTCTTTCATAAGTAGCATGGTCATGTCTTGTTGGATCATAACGTATAATGTCCCTGTTTAAAAAAAGGAAGGCAATTAAAGGAAGGCAGTTTGAAGAAAACTGATACAAAAAACAGTAATTACACTTCAACACTAGATTCTAATTTTTGGAAAGATAAACATAAACAACATCAAAGAACAAAATTAGGATCTTATTAGAAATAGTATTTTAAATTGCCTGCTTTAGCAATTTCCTGAATATTTTTAACCTGGAAAGTTATTTTTAAAACACTAAAATATATACAGATTAAATGATAAACTATCTGGTATTTGCATAAAACATGTCAGTGGGTAAAGCAAGTTTCAGACAAAAGTACAGAAAGCTGGTGACATGTTGGTGACTATAGAAGCTGGGTGATGGGGTTTCATTACACTAGTCTCTCTACATTACATATGTTTGAAATTTTCCTTAATAGTAACCTTTATATAGCTTCATAGTTTTACAGTTAATATTTAAAATGTTTTCCAGTTGTTTCATTAATAGAAGCAATGCTGCTAAGATCTAAGAATATAAATACAGAAATGATTTAAGATTAGTTTCTGGAAGTGAATCCTTAGGTCAAATTTAGGTATATATTTTTCAGGGTCTGATTGATGCATATCGCCAAGTGTCCTTCCCAGGAAGTTAGAAATGACCTCGTTTTAAAATGAGTTCAAATAGGCATTTATGGCAAAGGAAAATACAGTAGAATGGGATGGAACATAAACCATACTTAAATTTCTTAGCAGGTACTGATCCTTTGCTTGTAGAACTGCTTAAGTTCATGTGCAAGACACTTTGTATAACATTCAGGGCTTTCTTCTTTTCTTCAGCAAGCTCCTCTTCTTCAGCAGTTTTCTTTTCATTTACCTCTGAGGGAAAAGGCAGACCCAACTTGAGAAGTCTCAATCATCAAATACTTCCCAAGCACCTAAACACATTAAAAGTCCACTAAAACAGGAAGAAGAAAAGTTTAACCTTACTTCACTAACCTTTCTATCCCAAGAACCTCATGCCACAGCAAACCCAGAAAGTCTGTACAACCAAAAGGAAAAAGTCCCATTTCTAACTATAAAAATGAGTCTGGGTTTAATGACTCTCAGTGGCAAGTCTAAAATTTTTTAGGTAAATACTGGCAAATGTGATATAGTAAGATACTAATAATTATAAAACTAACGTGGTCACAGACTGATTTTTTAACATCCCCCAAATAAAATCTAAATTATATGTAAATCTAAAAATAATAAAGTGAAAAACAGTAATTTTACTGACTTAATATGACATACTATTAGAGAACTGCTTTAGTCTTTGATTCAGTAACAGGTATTACAGGAAAAAGCCATATGCCCTATCTATACTGCATCATGGAATTCTGCAATACATATGTATAAACTGCTATGCTCAACTACTAGAAACAGAAAAATATCAGAGAATATTGAGCAGGTTGGATTATAGACATTAAAAAACATTCACACCTTTATGACTTTTTCAATTTATTACAGGATATAAATAATCAGCTAACAGAAACTAGAATAAAATTCTTCTTTAAGTTTCCTACAGAGATGCCCCACAAGTTTCTAAGGGTTTAAAGGAAGTTGAAATTATGTTTAACTGGATAAAAAAAATGCTTTATAAACCAGGTAGAGTATAGGGTAGGAAAGACCAAGTAACATCCCTAGAATTGGAAGAGCATGATAGGTGTCATACACAAAACAAATACATACATTAAAGTAAGAAAGTACACAAAAGTTCTGTTGCATTAGGTTAAAACATACGAAACTGCTAATATTAAAAAATTCTTGACTTCTAAAAATAGAAATTTCAATTTTAACCTAATAGAATATAAGTAGAATATAATGCTACAAAAGGCTAAAGGTAATATAGGCTAGACGGGCTGTTTACTTGTAGGACAAAAAATTTTGCCTCAAAAATTGAGGAGGAAAAAAAAGACAGAAGTTCCATGCCTGACTGCCTTAAGAACAGAAGCATTGCCAACACAGAGAAAAGGGTCTCAAAGAGCTAGCTGATTTATGGAGAGAAAGAGAGATCTTCAATTTTGGTGAGTTTTAACACAAATTCAGGGAAGCCTGTGGGAAATATCTAACAGGCATTGAAAAAAGACCAGTTAGGAGCTCAGCAGAACAGTCATAAGCAAAGATGACCCAAATTTGGGAAATACTCAAGTATAAGTGAAGGCTAAAGCCAAGGGCTTACACAGAATCTTGGGAAGAACCTATATTTGGAGGCAAAAGGAGAATTAGGAACTAGGAATTAGGAAGAAAACCAGGAAGTTATGACTCAAGGGAAGAAAAGTGAAGAGAACATTTCAAGAAGGGATGATTAGCAGTGACAAATGCTATAGGTCAGCTAACGAGGGTGTTGTGGGAGATAATGCCACCATACTTAAGAGAATAAATTATTTATAGCTTTGAGGCCACATACCAAAAGAGTCATAGGAGACAGACAAAAGTGACAGAATTTCTGTGTTTTCAACATAGAATTTTGAGTCAAATAGTCAAATGTCAGCTCTGACATATAGTTAGTGTGACACCTGGAGAAATGAACCCTCTCTGAACCTTGGTGCTCTGAAATATACAATATCGATAATATTCACCTCAAAGAATTCAGAGATCAAATCAGAGATTATATTCAATAAAAAGCCAACTGATACTGAATTAAATGCAATGACTGTATTTTATCATGTATAATATACATGTTTTTGCCCAATTTTTGAGGGAAAAATAAGGATGTGCATCATACATGGGCAGTACTAATTCCGTATCTATATAAATGTTTTTACTTTTTAAATTTATGCTTATGTGTTGAAAGTATAATTCTAGAAAAGCAATAATGATATTTATATACAAAATAATACCCTAGAATACAGTAGTTGGTTTTGTTGAACTTACAATGAACTAGTAACGAAAACAATTTTTTTTTGTTGCAGTTTTTGGCTGGAGCTGGGTTTGAACCTGCCACCTGGTGCCCTACTCCTTTGAGCCACAGGTGCCACCCCGAGTGATATATTTCTTGCACACTTTAGATGATAGCTAGCAATCTAGCTGGTATTTTTTATAAAAATTATTAGAACATCTCTTGGAAAGATTTTTTTGTCCTGAGAGTGTGGGCTGAAAATGAGGGTGCGCACTATACACAGAAGCACATCCTACACAGCAAATAAGAGTATTCATTTCAAATTAAGACTTGAAAAAGAAATGGAATGGAAACCTGAAAACTTGCATGGTTAGGGAATGGCTTTTGGGGGGCCCACAAGACTTAACTGTGCCTGCAGGAAGAGGAAGGAACTAGAAGGAAAGGAAAGGATGAAAATGCAAGTGACAAAGAGGAAGAATGAATGGTGAGGATTAAGAGGCAGATTCGATTAACTCAGGAAGTAGAGAAAACAGTATAAGGAAAGGACAGAGAAGTTCTGAGGTTGAGAGAGGGAAATTAAGGAGCTCATACATGGCTTACATGTATGAAGTAGGGTCTTTTAAGAGTAGGTCTTATAAAGTTTAAAACTGCTGTGAAAACACTATAGGAAGCAAAAAAGAGTGAAATTAGGATGCTTCTGATAGCATCATTATTCTTAGGTATCACACATCCAAATAAGAATGCACTGAAGCAGAATAGCATTCAACCATACACTGCTTAAAAATAAAAAATTCTGCACCCATCATATGCACTGGAGGTTGATGAACACTTTTCCTTTTAGGATACCATGGGTGATGTGACTGTCTTTCCTGGCCTTAACCAGAACCTACTGAGCAGCTGACACAGCCTGCAGGGAAGAGTCTCACCTCCTTCTCATGCCATGGATAAGATGGAAGAAAACAGCACATTGGTGGATGCTATCTACTCCTGACCTTTCTGGCAGCTTCAAGTAATTGTCTTTTCCTAAGTAAATCAACATGTACAGACAAATAAGTTAACTAAACATTTGATTATACACTCTTCAATTCCATGTCTTGGTATACAGAATTTCTTCATGTGTTAAATAAAAGAGGTATACCAGATGATTTCTCCCAGTCACCTAGCTCTGACAGCAGGACCATTTGGACAATGAAGCATTTACCTTCCTGTTCTTCTTCACTGTCACTTTCTAGAAATCGAGAGTCCATACGAAATCTTTCATCAGTGCCAAAGTGTGATTGTAAATCCATGAGCTACACAGACAAAAAACATATATAACTGATAGCCACATTACCAAGAAATTGCTTCTACCGATGATTCCCCAAGTACACCTCCCCACACCCTGGAATTCACTACATTAATATATTTACACAACCTCACCTACCTATGAACCAATCAAGAGGATCACAGAGCACTCCCAATATAAATTTCCCAGCAGTGAAATGTGGGTGAAGGTCTGCCTGCATTTACCTAGACTTAAAGACTACGTCAAATGAAAGGACATGTTTCAAGTTTTATTTTTAGTTTTCACTAACCTTCTGTCCAGCTCTCCCCTCAAACTGAGGTTTAATTTTGAACCTGTTACTGTCATCTTCCGAATCAGATTCTTCATTTTCACTGCTGTC